CCTGGGATCGAGCCCCGCGTCGGGCTCCCTGCTCGGCGGGGAGCCTGCTTCTCCCTCTGCCACTCCCCCTGCTTGTGTTCCCTCTCTCGCTGTGACTCTCTCTGTCAAATAAATAAATAAAATCTTTTAAAAAAATAAAGAAAGAAAGAAAGAAGAGGGGATTGGAAGTGGGCCTTGAAGGACTGATAAGATTTGACTAGACAGAGGAGAAAGGGCAGGAGTCGGACCGAGACAGACCCTGAGCAGTCCCCTAAAGAACAGGCAGGCTCTGGAGAGCTGCCTCTCCCTGCACCTCCCCTCTCCTCCTCTCCTGCCAACATGTTTGGTCTTCCTTCTTGAACCTGCCAGGCCCATCAAGCCCAACGAGATCCTTCCCCCAGAGAAGGGCCGGGAGGTGGCCAAGGAGCTGGGCATCCCCTACTACGAGACCAGCGTGGTGGCCCAGTTTGGCATCAAGGACGTCTTTGACAACGCCATCCGCGCAGCGCTCATCTCCCGCCGCCACCTGCAGTTCTGGAAATCCCACCTCCGCAATGTGCAGCGGCCTCTGCTGCAGGCGCCCTTCTTGCCTCCCAAGCCGCCTCCCCCCATCATCGTGGTGCCCGACCCCCCCTCCAGCAGCGAGGAGTGCCCCGCCCACCTCCTGGAGGACCCGCTCTGTGCGGATGTCATACTGGTGCTGCAGGAGCGGGTGCGCATCTTTGCCCACAAGATCTACCTCTCCACCTCCTCCTCCAAGTTCTACGACCTGTTCCTCATGGACCTGAGTGAGGGGGAGCTGGGGGGCCCCAGCCCAGAGGACCACCGGGGTCACCCTGATCACCATCACCACCACCACCACCATGGCCGGGACTTCCTGCTGCGGGCGGCCAGTTTTGATGTGTGTGAGAGCGTGGAGGAGGGCGGGGGCTCTGGCCCTGCTGGGCTCCGTGCCTCCACCAGCGATGGGATCTTACGGGGCAATGGAACAGGGTATTTGCCCGGGAGGGGTCGAGTCCTGTCTTCCTGGAGCCGAGCTTTCGTGAGCATTCAGGAAGAAATGGCAGAAGATCCTCTGACGTACAAATCCCGGCTGATGGTGGTGGTAAAAATGGACAACTCCATCCAGCCAGGGCCCTTCCGGGCTGTTCTCAAGTACCTGTACACCGGGGAGCTGGACGAGAATGAGCGCGACCTCATGCACATCGCCCACATTGCTGAGCTGCTTGAGGTCTTTGATCTGCGCATGATGGTGGCCAACATTCTCAACAATGAGGCGTTCATGAACCAAGAGATCACTAAGGCCTTCCATGTCCGCCGGACTAACCGGGTTAAGGAGTGCTTGGCAAAAGGCACCTTCTCAGGTATGGCTTGTGCTTAGGAACTGACTGCCAGAGGGCAGGGGACTTCCCTCCAGTTAGCCTTCTGAAGAGTCTGCTTTGGTCCAGTTAGCATTCTGAGTCATCTCAGCTGCTGATGTCCTGGAGATGGGGTGGCTCTGCTCCTGAAGCCTAGTACCCAAGCCCGAGAGCTTGGTCAGGTAGCACTCTACATGAATGGCTTCAGAAGGAAGTGGGTTGTATGGGCACGGTGTCAATCTTTGGGGTGGGTTCTCCCACATCCTTTCACCATATCCTCACGTGATGCCTCTTCTCCTCCCGGACAGATGTGACCTTCATCCTGGATGATGGCACCATCAGCGCCCATAAGCCCCTGTTGATTTCCAGCTGTGACTGGATGGCCGCCATGTTTGGGGGGCCATTTGTGGAGAGTTCCACCAGGGAGGTAAGGCTAGGAGGGGAATAGGTGGGAAGGAGAGAGAGACCCACACCCTTCCCACCTGAGGCATCTGCCATTTACTGCTACTTCCTTCAGTCAGTACCACCTTCAGTTACTGACTGTGTGCTTGCTCACCACTGAGTGACAGACTCAAGATAAGTTTAAGAGATGGCTCCCATTGCCAAGGATCTTATGAAATTTCAAGACAGGGGATTATGGTGACATCTTCACTTTATGGTATAGAAAGCACTTTTGATCATTATCTCGTGTCTCACCTCACACACAACTCCTACACGTGGCGTCATGTTCTTACCTTACAAGGAAAGTGAGTCCCCAGGAAGTTAAGTGCCTGGTACAAAGTTATATAAGTAGAAAGGAGAGGTTTGGACTTGAACTCAAGACTCCCGATTCCTTGGCTCTATACGTTGTACCTTGCTTTCTCCCTAACACATGTGAGCCAAGGGGAAAAAATTCAGTGTGTGCCAACGTGACTCTATCACTGTTTTAAATGTAAGTCTTAGTATCACTTAGGTACGGTGAAGCCCACAGTCAGAAAATTGCCATTGGACGGGGAGATTTTTATACTCCCAGCTGTCAGTAGGAGGGGGCATGCACGGTATGGGGGACCACACAGGGAAGCACCAGGGTCAGTCTGGAAGCAAAGGGAGTGAAGGGGATACGAACAAGAGCCTTCACTGTAGTTTCTATGGGAAGGAACGGGTGAGGCAGAGGGAGCAGGCTTAGGATTGGCTAGTCTGAATAATTTCAGCAGGCTTTTGGGGCTGTCCCAAGTCATCTGATACCTGGCCTTGGGGTGACTAGGGCAGGGGATAGTGGTTGAGGGAATGAGCCTGATAAAGGAGGTGGTTGGGGTGTGGACAGAGGATTGGTTGGTTTGCATGTGAAAAGCATGCTGAGCGTGTCCTTTACTCCGGCTAGCATTGGCTAGCCCTGGGAGGGGCAGCCCCGCTGGGTCAGCAAGGCCCCGGATGTCAAAGCAGCAGAACTCAGACCATAAAAAGAAATGCTTCAGACAGTCACCTTTCCCTTTAATCACCACTGCTCCGACTCGGCTCTTCCGTCACCGTTATGGCCACTTTCTCAGGCACCGAGACTGGAAACACCGAGTTGGACGGGGCCTATCAGTGCATCCTTAGAAATAGTCTCTTCAGTCTGTTCTCTCCTTTCCCTTCGCGCAGCCGAGCAGAGTAGCTCAGGCCAGGGCCCTCGGTGTTCTCTCTTTTCCGTGAACTCCTGTACCGTTAGTTGGCCACAGTCAGCCTCGCAGTTAACAAGGTACAACTTTGTGCAACTGCTTGAGGTTCTGGGGGTCCACACACCATTTTCTTGCCTGGTCTGGGATTTCTTCCCTTCCCGCTCTCTCCAGCCCCACTCTGCACGTCCCTTAGTAAGAGCTCACCCGACACTTGAGGGAAAGATGGGGCTGCGAACAACACAGGATAGCATCCTGTGACGTAGAATGACAGTTTCTTAAGATTTCCGGGAAGGGAGTGCGTCCGGAAGGCTAAGTGGAGGGCTTGAGCTGTGAGTTGGTCTGATCCTTGAAGCATGAGTGGGTTTGGCTTCTGTGAGTGGAGCCCCAGGGGCCGGTCCGCCCCAGGCGCTTCTTGGTGCCGCAGAAGCCGGGTTAGAGCTCCAGATGACTCCCATGCAGCCCGGAGAGACTCGTGTCTGATGAGAAAGCAGTTTTTATTGCAGCGCTGCTCGGAAGAGATCCCAGGGGCCCAAAGCAGCAGCTTCAGGCAGCCAGCAAGAAGCCAGCTGGTGTTGGCTTGGCTCATTCGTACCCCACTTGCACTGCCCTCTGTAAGGCCAGGAAGGGCCAGGGTGTGTGGGTTCAGGCGGCAGGAAGGACTCCTCCAAACATCTTCCAAGCCAGCACAGCTTTGGAAGCGTGCCAGTGAGAATCCAGGTCCTTTTCTTTCTTTCTTAATTAAATATTTATTTATTTATTTGAGAGAGAGAGAGGGAGTGCACATTCGTGAACGTGGGGAGGAGCAGAGGGGGGGAGAGAGAGAGTCTCCGGCAGACTCCCCACTGAGCAAGTGTGGGGCTCCATCTCACGACCCTGAGATCATGACCTCAGCCAAACTCGAGAGTCTGAGGCTCAACCGACTGAGCCACCCAGGCGCCCTGAACCCAGGTCCTTTTAAAATGTCAGAGCGCTGCTCACTGGTGTGGTCAGCGTGCGGGCTCAGTGCAGGTTTTTGCTCTGGGAGACAGGCCTTGGGGGGCCTTCGGAGCTGGTACAGGGGCAGCTCAGGGATGGCTGCCCATCTGGTGGAGCCAGCAAGAGGGCCAGGGCCTTTTGAGTTTCCCCGGCCTGAGCTCCTCCTTCCGTAAGGCTGGGCCTCCCTGAGGCCTTCTGTCTCCCTCCCCCCACAGGTGGTGTTCCCCTGCACTAGCAAGAGCTGCATGAGGGCGGTGCTGGAATACCTCTACACGGGCATGTTCACCTCCAGTCCCGACCTGGACGACATGAAGCTCATCATCCTGGCCAACCGCCTCTGCCTGCCGCACTTGGTTGCCCTCACAGGTACACGGGGACCCCTCTGGGGGAGAAGCCAGGGAAACCACCCCCCCCAGGTCCTGATTTCTCCTCTCACCTGCCTCCCCCCAGGGGACAGGCTGCGAGCACCGAGGGAATGTGTTGACATAAAGTGAAATATGTCGATGCGCATTGGGGTTTGGGTGAGGACATAGATGTAAAGAAGCACGTGTGAGAGACAGGATGGTGTCACATGATAGGCTCTCCGCAAGGGGTTATGGGCCCCACCAAGCGGTCTCCAGTAGATGACAGCGCTGGTGTTCCATCAGCTTCGCTTCAGCGGGGCAAGCTTAAGTCAAGAGGAATAGAGCGCCATTCCTCATTGCTCCCCTTTGGTTCTTCACCTCCTCCTCTGCCTTTTTTCTTCCTTCTCATCCTTCTTCTCTTCCTCCTCCTCCTCTTCCATCTTCACTTTATCTCTCTTCCAGAAGCAGACAATAAACATTGACCTCCCATCCCTAGTTCCTTGAAAAGACCATGAGAGCTGGAGCTCAGCTTTTAGAATGGGCCCACTTCGGAGGCCCTGGGGTGGAGCAGGGCCTGAGGCCACGGGAAACTGCGCAGCAGGCAGTGGGGGGTGGTGGAGGGGGCCGAGGGGCTGGAGAAGAGGAATGGCGCTATCCAGATGAAGGGAGTGCTGTCAAACGCTGGAATTGGTATCTGCACTGTGTTGGTATTGATGTTGATGTCAGGGTTCGTGTTCTTGGGCAGGTCAGGGGCCAGAGGGCAGAGCCTTAGATACTGAGCTGAGATCCAGGGAAGGATCTAGCATCAGAGCTGCTGGGGCACTGGACCAATGATCAAGACTGGGACTCACATAGGAGGAAAACAGCAATACCATGATGAGAAATTAGTTATAACATGGGGCTTGGTCATAGGAAGAAGGAAGAAAGCATTGATCAGAATTTGACTGTTAAGAGCTGAGCCTACAGAGAGAGTCCTAGTTGGAGACACAAAGGGCTTTAGGGTGGGGAGCAAGAGAGGCTTCTACAGATCACAGCTGAAACGTACATCCACCGTAGCTGCCCGTGGAAAGTGGTGTGGTCTTCACAGAGCACAGCCAACTTCCAAACTCTTGGACCTAGTAATTCACCTTTTGAAAGACTATTTCCAAAGACATGACCCAAAGGCAAAATATGTATAAAGATGTTCCTGTAAGTTTGCTTCATCATGGCAGGCGATCAGAAACAAGTCAGCTGTTCCAAATGTTACACTGCGCCGCTGTGTGGAGAGGCTTATAGAAAATACCCATTGAATGACTTTTCTGGGAGACGGTCCATACGAATGACAAAGTATACAGATGTGTGTCATGCACATGCCTTGTCAAGGAGCAGCGGGAAATGCTGAGCATGGTATATTTGGTGATGCTCTCGGTTTTGGGAGATATGCTATGAAGTTATTAATTCAAGCTTAAAACGTTTTCATTATTCAATAGAGCACAAATGCATGAAACATGTTCGGCTTCATGAATTATTATAGAGTCAGAGGACCCATATCAGGAGCTAGCTCCTTGCCGGCCATAGCAGAAGCCCTCTGCCTGTCCCCGCCAGTCACAAGTCCATCCCCGTCCTCAGGAGTGACGCTTTGCCTATTACTCCTCTGTAGAGTATTTTTTATTGGCCTCACTTCTTACTCTTCATAGTTTTATCTTCCATGTGTGCATCCTTAAACACCAAAGCATGGTCTTATTTTTTTTTTAATTTTTTTATTGTTATGTTAATCCCCATACATTACATCATTAGTTTTAGATGTAGTGTTCCATGATTCATTGTTTGTGCATAAC